GAGAACTGACTCATTGGAAAAGACCTGATGCTGGGAAAGACTGAAGGCCGGAGGAGAAGGGGACGACAGAGGAGATGGTTGGATGGCCTCACTGACTCGATGGACGTGAGTTTCAATAAACTCCGGGAGCTGGTGATAGACAGGGAGGCCTGATGTGCTGCGGTTCATGGGGTCGCAAAGAGTTGGACACGACTGAGAGACTGAAATGAACTGGACTGACCGTAGCCCACCAGGCTCCTCTGTCCATGGGTTTTTCCAGGCAAGAATACTAGAGGGGGTTGCCGTTTCCTTCTCCAGGGGATCTTCCTGACCCTGGGATTGAACCTGGGTCTCTTGCATCCCTGCACTGTAAGGCAGATTCTTTCATTGCTCCACCTGGGAAGCCCTTATGTCACTAAATAAACATTACCTGTAGATATGAGGCTTCTCATCCTTATCTCTGGAGGTTTACATTTCCACCTTCCCTTTCCTAAGTTCATCTTAGAAAAAGCGCAGGGAGGGAGGGGGATGGCCACATGCTACTTCGGTGCCAGCGGTGTTTTAAACAGGGCCGTTGAAAGCTCTGCTTTCATGCTTACCTTGAACCATGGTGTAGAACGAGTCAATGGAGGACAGATTTGAAGTGATGCTGACATCTTCTTCTCGGCTGGATGACTCGATGTCCACTGTGATCGCCTTGTCCATGTCTCCATGGAGGTTGGTGACCACGCCGGTTGGAAATGTCACATTGGTCAGACGACCTTCGCTGTCGTAGCTGAATAAGAGAGGAATGAACTGGGTGGTAAACAGGCAACTGCAGATGCTTCTTACTCACACGAGACTTGGTGGAAATATTAGCTGCACACGTTTGGAAGCATATTTGTCTTTGTGCAGGAGCTGTGCTGAGTGAGGACTTCAAACGTGCTTTGAAGTCATCAGAAGCCTGTTTAACATAGAAAAGCCATGCCGGTGAGAGGGAGAGTAAACAGACAGCTCTCCACCTCAGCACATTTTTCTTTGAAGTGTGACCAAAATCCTCCTGCACATCTAATTTGCTGTTTCAAAGGGAACATGTTTGGTGATATTAAATTTCTTAGTATTCCTCCATATTTTCTACAAAGTAGATTTAATTCGCTGTTATATCCTGTTCGAAGGTTTTACTAACTTATGCGGTCTATGGCAGTGCGATATGAAAAAAATTATATCTGTAACTTTGTAAAACAGTATATATCCATTCATGTTATATATTTGCATATGTAAAGATATTCCTTCAGTACCTTGAGACACCTTCAACACATTAATATAATAGAGACTTTTAAAAAGACTTTATTTTTCAGTGATCAACATACTTCATAATGGTACACTGGGACTTAAATGTTGGCAGGGGTGGTGATAATCTAGTCTGTACTGACATTACAGGAATGGTGGTGTTTCGAATGATGATTCATTATGTTTACTGAAATGAGATGTGATACTTCCTGACATTTAATACTATTTATTATACACTAACTCTTTCTTAGCATATATATAAGGAGGAACTTATAATTTAAATGTTAGGATGTACCTTAAAATGCTATCCTATAATCACAACTATGCATTAGAGATATAACATTTTACTAACATATTGATTTTGGGAGGTGACTTTTCTACTGGTGGCAGCACCAGAGAAAATTTCAAAAATGACAATGTGCTTTAAAGAAAGGTGGTGGGAGGGGGGGAAGCAAATATTAAATGAGAAAACAGGGACTTCCCTGGGACAAAAATGCATTTATGATAGGATTTCATATTTACACTAAAGTTGCTTCATTAACAAAAGATCTAAGAAATGGAGTGCTAAACCACGTCCTACTGAAAATAAGACCGGATGCAGAACTAGGAGATGAAAGAATCTTAACAGTGAAAGACAGAAGTCACCAGGACAGGGGAAATGTGAAGATATAATAGTAAAAGGTGTAAGCACAGGGCAACAGGAGAGGGGGGTAGATAAAAAGTACTAAATGGTATTTTAGAATAAAAGGAGAGTGGGTTTTGATAGTATCACTTCAAGAAATGTAGTTGGGAATTAGGAGCAGCATCTAGGTATTTGAGGGAGAGCATTCAGCAAGGACAGTATCATGGTGGAGACAGGAAGGTGGAAAGTTGGGAGGAGAGAGAGGGACGTCCGTTCAGACCCCGTTAATTCAGTGGGGACAGTATCAGTCAGATCAGGGGTTTGACTGACTGGATCTGACAATCTGCCTTGCTGCTTCGCCAGCGGCAGGAATGGGCACTCAGGAGATGAGGCGGGTGATGGAGAGACAGAAAGAAAATGCACCATTAAGTGTAATCATTGTTTGGACCCACAAAAGGCAGAGCTGAAATAAAAAACGAGACTCCTTCTCTTCCCCAGCAACCCAAGTGCCCCTAGCAGATTAAGGCATCAATGAAAGAAACTGAACAGGGCTTATTGCTGTCATTACTTTTTTTTTTTAAGACATTATTACTTTTGAAGAAACAAATAAGCCTAGGTTTATAGAATTACTGACCATACCAGCCTAAAGTGCAATGTTTACCAGGACATAATTCTTGCATTGTTTTATATTTCTCACAGGATAAGATGGAGAAAAAGTTACTGTGTTTTTATAGAAATTAACACCCTAAGGTAAATAAGTACCAGGGATGCAGTGTACAACCAGATAAATACAATGAACACTATTGTTATTTAGTTGCTAAGTCATGACTCTTTCGCGACCCCATGGACTGTACCCTGCCAGGCTCCTCTGTCCAGTGGGATTTCAAGAATACTGGAATGGGTTGTCATTTCCTTCTCCAATAATTAAACTGCTTTATGTTATATATATAAAACATATATACATGTTTATAAAACACATAACATATAAACATGTAAAACATGTTTATAATATGTTTATAACATATAACATAACATATAAAACATGTTTGAAATGTTTTATATATAACATATATAAAAATACATGTTATATATATAAAATATATAAAGAGAGTACATCCCAAGAGTTCTCATCACAAGCCAAAATTTTTCTATTTCTTTAACGTTTTATCTATAAGACATGATGAATGTTCACCAAACTGACTGTGATATTCATTTCATGACATACGTAAGCCAAATCACTGTGCTATATACCTTAAACAGTGCTGTCTGTCCATTATGTGTCAATAAAACAGGAAGGAAAAAGCCACAGAAAAGATTTAAAAAGAAATGGACATCCTTTTGCATCCTCCTATATAAAAGGCAATTCAGTACTTCATCAGCCCTTGCCTCCCTTCCCATTTTACAGACGGACAAATGAAAATCTGATGTGATCAGGTGGTTTGATCAGGCTCTCTCTCCGCATCTCACGACGGGCCCATGCCTGGAGCTTCTAAGCACTGGACCCAGGTCCCGGAGCCTGTCTGTAAATCACAGTGCTTGACGGAGTGGAGAACGACAGCTTCATACAGATGATGCCACCTGCCAGCACTCTGCTGGTTCATTCCCGCCGCTGTCACTCACCCGCCCTTTGCTGGTTTGTTTTCTAGCTCCATTCAATCTACAGCGGGCCCGTCACCTTTCTCCTGCGGAAAGCATCTCTCCCATCCTCGCCACTGCTCTTTCACTGGCCAACCTCGAGGTCCCCGTCCTGTTGGGCAGGCATTTCCAATCACAGGATGCTGAGCGCGCCGTCTTTGAGCACGGGGCGCTGCGTGTTCAGACGCTTACCTGTTTGCCTCCGGTTCTTTGGAAAATAAAGCCACAAGTAGCCTTTGCAGGCAGTGCGGTTAGAATGCCAGAGGGTTAAGCTGGTACCTTAGTGGCCCAGCTCCACAGTGTGGCCCCGGAAGTCCTGAGTTCATGCTTTCATACGGGGTGCTGCACGTAAAAAGTGAGGCACGCAGGGCTGAAGGGCTGGCACGGGGCTGGCCAGGAAAGCTGCCATTTCCTGAAGGGCCCTTAGAGCATCTACCCCGCTGGTCACCTACCAGTTTCCGAATAAGCTTGTAGGCAAGTTACAGCGCGAGGGATCTATGGGTACGAAGAGCATCAGAAGCAGGGGATGGTGTGAGGTCCTGCTGGAGTGGCAGGCAAGCGCCACATCAAGGTGGGGACCTATGCTGGGCCTTGAAATAGACACGGATTTAGATGGGAAGATAAGGAAGGCACGGGACATAGACCAGCCAAGAAAACAGCCAGGGAGAGGGTGTGGAGGCGTGAGGAAGGACAGGCTCTGAAGTCAGGGGCATGGAAGAGCCCGCTGAAGCAGAGGGTCCAGGTAGGGGCCATGAGATGGTGGAGGCAGGCCCTGGACAGGCGTCACCACTGGGGACTGTGATGAAGCGAGGCTTTAATCAAGCTTAAAGGAGCCCAGGGGTGGGGTGACAGGACACTCAGGGACTCCGCCCCAGACTCGCCGATTTCACAAATCAAGACAAAAAAATAAGATTGGGGACCAGCAGAGGGTTTTGAAAATTCTTCACCTGTTACCAGCATCCTTTCATAAAGAGAGGCCATTTAGCCACGCCGCAGGGAGAAAGGACCTAACTTCAGGGGGAGACCATTCTTGACAAGGAAAAGTAAAGCTTTATGAACACATTCTCTCCCTCATTATGTATTTTTTTTCCCATTTCACTGTGGATCCGTGAGAATTTTTGCACAGATTCGCAGCTAGGACAACAGAAGTGAAACAAGATGGATGGCAGACATTGGAATTACCAGGGGACCCTGGATGAGGGAGGGAGGGAGAATGAGACGCCCGTCAGATGGGGCAGCTGATCCCATCTTTAGCAAAAGCAGAAAACCAATGCACCAGCCGATGTCCGGCCGTCCTCCGAAAAGCTTTGATCCCAGGTTCTAACGGGGCCTTCTCATCAAATACATGCCTCTGGACACAGTCTCTGCCCTGTGCAGCGTTGTGGCGCTCCGGAAGGCTGCCTGGCCTTGCTCGTGAGCTAGCCTGCCTTGCTTGTAGATTTGAGACATGGTTTTCTTTTATGAGCTTTTGAAATCGCAAGGCTACAGGCTCCAGGGAATCTGACTGGAACATCACTTTCATGCCCCGCACCCCTTCCACTCTTGGCCGCAACCTCGTAGCTTCAGATTCATCACACAGCACATTCCTTTTTGCTCCCGGTTGACCCCTCCTGACAACGGCCCCTCGCTGGAAAAGACAAACTCCCTCCGGCTCCCCATGACCTCCTGCTCCTTCACTGATGGGCTGCCCCGCGTTGAGGCTTCTCTATTTGTTCATCTTTAATTTTGATTGCGTTTTTGCCTAGACTTGCTGTTTTAGCCTTTGTGGTATATTTTTAAATCTCTTTTTAAGTTTCCTTAACAGCAGGATTCTCGACAAATGCCCTGGAAAGCCAGAGGCTCAGACCATCTCAGTTGAAGATGCTGATTTCCATCCTGATGTGAAATCCTCTCTCATACCCCCTTATAGACAAGAAGTTCCCGACACTTTCCTTTGCCTTCATGATGCCTTGCACGTATCTTTCCACTCCCACAGCCGCCCTAGATTGCCAAAGTTGGTTTTGCTGCCTCTCCCCACACCCATGGCTAACAAATCCACCTTCTAAGCTGTGCCATGCCCCTGCTCCCGAGGGTAACACTTCTCTGCTCAAACATCCCTAGCAGTTCTTCAGTTGAGACAGACATTGACCAAGACTGTCACCAACTAAGACCCACAGACTGTTAATACTGCATATACAATCAGGTGGAAACCGAGTTCTCAAAAACTTAAACAAATCAACATTAAAACACACACACACACACACACACAC